GTATACAAAGTAAGCACCCTGGCTCCCTTCTGAGTCACTTAGCTAAATCTCTACACTCCCCAAGTTGACACAATGTATCAATCATAACATATACCATCATCCCATACAAATTTGATTATCCTGAAAAATCAAAATAAACACAACAAAGCCTTTTCTGAATCATACTAACTAGATATATCAAAATACATTTAGCAGTTCAAAGATTTAAAATATAAATGACAAAGTGAAAGAGATGCATGGGAGGAAACTTGAAAAGTTTCCTGGCAAGCTGTGCACTTGTGCTCAGGCTCACCTCCTTCTAAAACCTCCACCCTTTATCTTTGAGGATGGGAAAAAGGGGGGATAACTGCTTCCTGCTGAGGGTGAATATTATAGTCATAAAAAATGCAATGAAAGAGTAAAACTCAGAAATTTCACAACTCTCCAGGCGATTATCAATGATTGCAGTTATAAATGCTTAAGAAGAAAATTTCTTTCAGTGATGATAAAATTCCACATCCAGAAAAGAAAGAAAAAATTGTGCTGTAAAGTAACTAATGTGTACAATGAATGCCAGCTCTCAGACTTGCAGAGACTTGGTAAGCAGTGAATACTAAGGGAAATTTGTACTTCATTGACATTCCAGAGCAATGTTTCCTAAAACTGAGAAAACAAGGTTTCTCCACACCTTTCACTCATTTTTAATTACCAAGGATTATAAATTATAACCACCAGGGCTTCCCAGTTTTACTTTAAATACTGTACCAAAAATAAGCTGAAAGAGCTTTGAGGTTTTTAAGTTGAATAAAATAGTATGTATCTGGAAATACCCAGGTGGAAACAAAGGGATTACTTGATGATTCTACAAAACCCAAAACTCCAACAGGGTTGCTTTCCAAATCCTTTGCTATTGCTACTGTCAAGAAGCAGAGCTTAATTCCCCTGTCTTTGAATAGAAACTGGACTTAATGTCTTCTTTTCAGTTCATGGAATAAGGCAGAAATGATGACATATGACTTTGGAGATAATACCACGTTTGACACGAGCCTCCTTCCTTGCTCTCTGTCTTGTGACAGTCAGTTGGGGCAAAGTGAAGACCCCCAAGCAGCCAAAGGGACAAGTGAACACAGCAAGAAATTAGAGCTTTCTGGTAAATTCTCATGCAAGTGACCTTGAACACAGATGCCCTAATCCCAGTCCCTGTTTCAGATAAAGCAAAAGCCAGCAGTGTAAGGAATCTCAAGGAGACTCCAACCCAGAAGCACACATACAGCTGCTCCAAGTTATTTGACCACAAACCCACAGAAACCATGTGATATGATAAATATGAACTATATTTTTGTTGTTATTGTGTTCATACCAGGTCTCATTGTGTAGTTCAGTCTACCTTGAACTTACTAGGTGTCCCAGGCTGGCCTGACCCACAGCAATTCTCTTGCCTCGGTCTCCTGATTGCTAAAATTACAGGAATGCACCGTCCTACTTATCTTTGTCATAGG